TGGGTAGTTAAAGTGCGTGGAGCCTGCATCTATGGGGGCTTCGCCGAAGACCGCTTCAAGGGTACAAAGGGGGCGCTGCTGAGCACACTTCAGAGCGTTAAAATGCTAAATGGGATGGCCTACGGACTCGTAGACTCGGCGAGCACGCGCAACTTAAGTCCACGAGACCGAAAGTCCGCATGAAGTGCGCCATTTGGGACAGGGCCTGTCAGACAAATGTCACCATGGTAACCAACATGTCAATCAAGTGGAGCCCCCAAGGTGCAGTAATAATAGTCACTAAGCCTGTTGTGTTAATGTGGTTTGATGTGTGTGTGCGACTCTGCATGTGTGTGTGTTTACTTGACTCATTGTTACAGTCGCATTTACAAAGTTTAAACATAACTTGGTTTAGTTGTCAATACAGTCCTCATGGATTGTTACGATCTTTAAAGGTCTAGGAGATGGAACGCAACATTAAGATATCACACACGAGATTTTCTCTTTCTGTCGGGAGTACAGATTACATAGTCTGTATCACTCTGTTTTCTTAGCACCTCATGAGGTCCAGAAAATCCTGCTGATAAAGCAGAGCTCGCAATAGGCAGGAATGCCAACACCTGATCACCTTATTTAAAGGAGCAAATTTTCATGTTTCATATTCCTCGTTTGTGAAATTTCACTACTGAACATCATTAAATATTTATTATTTATTTATTATATATATATATATACACTCACCGGCCACTTTATTAGGTACCCCATGCTAGTAACGGGTTGGACCCCCTTTTGCCTTCAGAACTGCCTCAATTCTTCGTGGCATAGATTCAACAAGGTGCTGGAAGCATTCCTCAGGGAGTTTGGTCCATATTGACATGATGGCATCACACAGTTGCCGCAGATTTGTCGGCTGCACATCCATGATGCGAATCTCCCGTTCCACCACATCCCAAAGATGCTCTATTGGGTTGAGATCTGGTGACTGTGGAGGCCATTTTAGTACAGTGAACTCATTGTCATGTTCAAGAAACCAATTTGAAATGATTAGAGCTTTGTGACATGGTGGAAGTAGCCATCAGAGGATGGGTACATGGTGGCCATAAAGGGATGGACATGGTCAGAAACAATGCTCAGGTAGGCCGTGGCATTTAAACGATGCCCAATTGGCACTAAGGGGCCTAAAGTGTGCCAGGAAAACATCCCCCACACCATTACACCACCACCACCAGCCTGCACAGTGGTAACAAGGCATGATGGTTCCATGTTCTCATTCTGTTTACGCCAAATTCTGACTCTAACATCTGAATGTCTCAACAGAAATCGAGACTCATCAGACCAGGCAACATTTTTCCAGTCTTCAACTGTTCAATTTTGGTGAGCTCTTGCAAATTGTAGCCTCTTTTTCCTATTTGTAGTGGAGATGAGTGGTACCCGGTGGAGTCTTCTGCTGTTGTAGCCCATCCGCCTCAAGGTTGTGCGTGTTGTGGCTTCACAAATGCTTTGCTGCATACCTCGGTTGTAACGAGTGGTTATTTCAGTCACTGTTGCCCTTCTATCAGCTCGAACCAGTCTGGCCATTCTCCTCTGACCTCTGGCATCAACAAGGCATTTCCGCCCACAGAACTGCCGCTCACTGGATGTTTTTTCTTTTTCGGACCATTCTCTGTAAACCCTAGAGATGGTTGTGCGTGAAAATCCCAGTAGATTAGCAGTTTCTGAAATACTCAGACCAGCCCTTCTGGCACCAACAATCATGCCACGTTCAAAGTCACTCAAATCACCTTTCTTCCCCATTCTGATGCTCGGTTTGAACTGCAGGAGATTGTCTTGACCATGTCTACATGCCTAAATGCACTGAGTTGCCGCCATGTGATTGGCTGCTTAGAAATTAAGTGTTAACGAGCAGTTGGACAGGTGTACCTAATAAAGTGGCCGGTGAGTGTATATATATATATATATATATATATATATATATATATATATATATTTTTTTTTTTTTACATTTATTTCATTATTAATAGAGTTAAAACAGTCAGATTCTGGAAGTAAAAACTCCATTCACTTTCTCCATAGGGAAATCGATTTTGTACGATAACTTATAAACCTGTAATAACAGCCCTACTGTGAGCTACAAGGTTGTTAATCCAGGGTATTTGCTCCTGCTGAAGCCATCAGCCTGCATTATTTAACAATCGTGTTTAACGGCAATTCCTGGTGGAAAAACGACATTACCTATGATGCTGTTCAGAAAAGTACACCAATCAGAAAGTCAAAAAAGCAACACACACAAAATAGCTATTTAGCTCCTCCCACTCCCATTAAGCACTGCGAATGACGTAATCAAGTCGATCTCTCTACACTCAAAATACTGAAATGTTTGTATATGTACAGTATATATATATATATATATATATATATATATATATGCATATTTTGCAATAAACTTGAAATGTTTTTTTAAATATGCAATCAACATTTGTAAATGAGTAGTTTAGTAAATAAGTACACCGTCTTGTACCTTTGTCTTTTTGTCCGATTTTCAAAAACAAAGTTTATAGTGTTGTGAATCGCCTCGATTGGCTTGGTTCATGGCTTTAACAAAGACTTTTTTTAAAATCCCTACGGGAGAAATGAATGGAAAAAAAATACTTCCAGATTCAGCACCGCTGAAAAAGGGCACAATCACTGCTGCATTCTATAATGTTATGGCATAAAATATCAGAACAATAAAGTACTAAGTACTGTAAGTATGTTGAACATCAAAATGACATCTATTTAATTTCTTATTGCATTATTTCAATTATTTGTTTTCAATCATTTAATGTTGGTTAATGTCATGTTACAGCAATAATAGGAAATATCTTTAGTCAATTCCGGATAGATAAAAAAACGTACAGTGCTTAGCATAAGTGAATACACCCATACTAAAGTTGAAAAGAGGCATAAAAAATCATCTTTTGGAAATTGATCTTAATGCCTTAATTTAAAAAAAAAAATGAGGAAAAATCCTAACTTTAAGGACTCCAATTTTCTTTGTGAATGAATAATGTATCGTAAATAAATAAATGTGAGATTTGAGAGATTGAGATTAGAGATAAAGATTGGCATGGGGTACTTTCTCTAAGATCATCTCTCAATGCAAATCAAACCAGCTATTGGCTAACTGAAATAAAACCATGCCAATCTCTAGTATGGTGAAGGGTATGTGATGGTGTGGGGCTATTTTAATTCCAAAGGCCAAGGGACATTTTCCTCATTTTTTTTTATATTAAGGCATTAAGATCAATTTCCAAAAGATGATTTTTTTTAGTCCTCTTTTTAGTCAACTTTAGCATGGGTGTGTTCACTTATGCTAAGCACTGTATGCCCAACATTTTTTTTTCTATTATTTAAATGTTTTATTTAATACATTTTAAATTGTTATTTTATTTTTATTTAATATTGCTTTTAAAACGAAAACGTGCATGTTTGTGTTAATTTGTAAGTCACAATTTTTCTGTGTGTGTGTGTGTGTGTGTAGGCAAAGAAGATGGTAAAACCTGTAAGAGAGTCGCCATCAGGACCACCATCAGGAAAGATGACTGTAGAAGTAATGCACCTGTGAGTGTGAAAGATTGACATTAAAATTGCAATTCCTATTATATACATTTTCTGTTGTTCTAATCTATTATATTAGGCTCGCTTATATTCTTTAATCCAGAGGTCTTCAATCCTGCTCCTGGAGGCCCAAAGCCCTGTAAAGTTTATCCGGCTTGCTTTAGCTTATGATTTCCAAGTGATCCTGAAGAGCTTGATTAGCTGGTTCCGGTGTGTTTGATTAGAGTTGGATCTAAACAGTGGACAGTAGACCTCCAGAAGCAGGGTTGAAGACCTAGCTCTATATATTCTATTCTGTTCCCCATCCATCCCCTGGAGTTGCTAACCTCATCTCTCTTGGTTTTTCTCTTCAGGTGACTGTGTATTCATGTGATGGAAAATGTCCATCTGCCACCATCTTCAATTTTAACATTAACAGTCATGCACGTTTCTGCAAGTGCTGCCGTGAGAACGGCCTACAAAACCGCATCATTCAGCTGTACTGCACTCGAAATGCCACTACGGTGGACTATTACTACCAGGAGCCAATGGACTGCTCATGCCAGTGGAACTGACTCTTTGTGGACTGTGTGCAGTAAAGTTAAGATCTCAGTGAGAGCACAGATTTTGACTGCATATACAGTATAGTATCTGTAAAACTACTAACACATCACTGTTTTTGATATCTAAAATGTATCTGTAATACCTTAATCAAACATTCATTAGAATAAGAACAACAAACTGCTGTTAAGTTTGTGTATCGTTTAGATTTTAGAGTATTAACATTAAATGTTATCCATAAACATTTTAAGTACACTTCTACTGTACATCTTAAGATCTTAACTTAACCAAATGCTTTATTTAAATGCAACTTTGTGCTTTTTCTAACAAAATCACATTTCTTATTAATTAGAGGGGAAAAAATGTACGAGCCAGTCTTAAGTAGTTATTTGATATTTCAGTAACACTTGCAATAACGTCACAGTATAATACATTTACTAACATTAACTATCAATGAGCAACACATTTGTTACGGTATTTATTGACCTTTGTTAATGTTAGTTTATAAAAATGCAACTGTTTATTGTTAGTTCCTGTTAGCTCAGGTCCATTAAATAATATTAACAGATACAACTTTTATTTTTTACTAATGTATTAATACATTTTGAAATTATATTAACATTAACTAAGTTTAATAAATGCTTTAGAACATTTTTTCTTTGTTAGTTCATGCACTGTAAAAAAGGATATGATCAATAAGTTATGACTATATGTTTTTACATTGCTTTAACTCATCAAAATAAGTTAAGCAATTTCAACTTTTTTATAAGTTATACAAGATTCAACTAATTCGTCAAAATCAGTTTAATTTAATTTAAGTTGAAATTACTTAAAGTTGATTGTACTTGAAAGAAATTAAGGCAGCAACTTTTTTTTACAGTGTGTTAACTACTGTTGTTAAATAATGTTAGTAATAGGAATCTTGTTGTAAAGTGTTACTGATATTATCTGCTTGACAGGCGCACACTTCCTGTCACTAGTTGTGTCCTGTCTTAGCCGTCTTTAAAAAAAAAAACATAACTTGATGAACTTGAATTTTCCATACTATAGCCATAACGTCAAAAATTTGATTTCAGCTGCAAATGATCAAAATTGTGTAAGCCTAAAAAGGATTAGCATTTCGTAAAATACCTAAAAACCTGCATGTTATTGTCAATGTTTTTTAAATAATGAAATAAAAATACAAAAAAATTGCACTGTGCAAATCAATCATTTAATTGATTTACCAAGCTATTTTATAATATACCACTCAATTATCCACAGATTATTATACCGCAGATATGAATCATTTTGAACATATTTCACCTTTGTGTGTGTGAATATTTCATTTAAGTCATTTCACTGTAAAATTACCAAATGGACTATCAACAAAACTGCAAAAAACAATTGGCATCAATCTTGGCATCCATCACCGGAAGAGTAGGATCTTTACCCTGATCTAATTTCAGAAGTGGTTTATTAACTAGATCAGCCCACACATGACTTGAGTTATATCCTGCTGAGTTGTGTTTTGCTTTCAAGTCGGATAATTAAAAAGTAAAAAGTTCCTCTCCTCCCTTGTGTACATCTGCTGAATCAGAATTTAAAGGAATGTTGCGTGTTCAATACAGTGAACTGTTGATTTCCACAGAGAATAACATTGAACTTTACTAGTAAAAACAGCACTGACAATACAAATCTGGGGTAGGACATGGTACTGGTATAGAAAAAGCACACACTTCAAAAGCTGGAGGAATAGACATTTTAAAAAGCTGTATGGCTCAAATAACACATTTTTGTAAATGAATTGATACATTGCATTCTAACATCCATTGCAAGTGCATTTTAATGTAACTTGAACCTGAGACATTTCTAAACCTTACATAATGTTTGTAAATGCCTTATTCTTGACAGCTAATATAAATTGAGTTTTATTCTTTCTCAGTGGGTGATGTAATGCATGTAGGAGTCTGGTGAGTGTTAGTGCGGGATTTTTTTGTGTCTGTTTCGTTCACTTCGCGACTGACCCTACATGACTCCCACGTGCTGACTCTGTTGTCTTGACAGCCTGCACTTTATTTCGATTCGGTCAAAAATGAAAGAAAAACATGTAGTGGAGAGGAGAGGCTATCTGGTCTGACTGAATTAGACCCAGACGCAGAGCTGCTTTCAAGAGGAGGTGTGGTTGAATCCTCCAGTGTGTTTTGTTATGTTATAAGATGCTGGCCTGGGCATCTGAAGTGGCAGAGGAGGCGTGCCCTCAAGGAATGTTGGGTATTTTCATGTAAACTGAACTGAGCCAATTTTTTCACTCTAAGATGCCACGGAGTGCTCTTGTGACCACAAAGACTGTTTTAGGATGCTGCTGAAGTTTGATTATTGTAGTGTAGGTTATTATTACAGTGCAAGCTGCAAGGCTAAAGACCTTAGTGTTTTACTTTAAGAATATGGTGTCGTCTATGGACGCTGGAATTATGGGATGGAGCTCCATGGACAAAGTTCTGGCCTTGTTTTGGCAACTTCTGCACTTCTTTCAGGTAACAATTCATTTAAACGGTTCATTCGAGATGGATCACTTCATCTTCAAGTGCAAAAATGCAATTGTCTGCTGTGAATTAAGAAATAAAGAAATATGCCTTTCTGGGTTACATAACAAAACCTGTTTATGTTAGAAAAAATCTAAGCTGGAATAGTTATTTAGAAAACTTTAAAGTCAACATGAAATCAAAATTGACTGTTTGCTTTCTTAATGTTCCTGTGCCATTATTCATTAGTTCAATCTTTCATCAAAACGTAGTAACTTTTGCATCTGAAATTACTTTCCTTTTCAGCCGTGTTTATGCGGTAAAAAAATATGTTCATGATTTGTCACAATTTTTTTTTTTTTTTGGCAAATCAACTTAGATAATGTGGTTCAGATAACATAACATTTTGAGTTTCTGTTGATTAAACCAATCTCCTTTATTGTATTAACTCAATTTTTTTATTTCAATGACCTCGATATTTACCCAGGTAACTCACTTTAAAGTGACCTTTTTTTTCTTCTTTTTTTTTTACATTATTTTGCAGCCTTTGTAAAATCTTCCAGATAAAAGTGAATCAGTGGTACCTAACAATAATAGAATACAGGTTTTGCCAATAATATTGCAATATTTTTTTTTACCTCCCTCTGGAATACAAGTCCCTTTTTTAATCATCGAAAATCCTGTGTAGTACATGCAGAAGTGGGATGTGAACATCTTTTCCATGTTGATTTTAAAGGTCTTATAGGGAGCATAAGGAAGTAGTATTAAAGGCTTGATAGAAAAACAATGCTCTGCACCCAATCCCTAGATTTTTCTTTCCTCTTGTTGTCCTTCAGGCTTTCAGTCTTCCATGTCCCAGAAGTCCATCCTCTGTCCATGTGCAGGTGGCGTTTCAGTGTTTTCCGTCACAGACAGCTAATTTTTACACACTTTCATTGGGAAACAAGGTGTGAAGCAAACACTATCCCTCTCAAAAGCTCACACACATTAATAATATGTTTGATTAATTGAGTTTCTCTGTCAGGTGCTGTGCAATTTTGCAGTTTGTGAAGACGTGTGTGAGTGTGTGATGACTTTCAGAGGACCACAAGTGTATGAGAAACTGGAATATAGTCTGCAGTCATACAACAACACAGAACTGCTGGATGCCAAGACTTTCCAACTTGGTAACACGCAGCAGCTTCAACCCAATAATGAACATAATGTTTTATTTATTTATATTTTATTCATGGAGATTCTACTTTGTTTTTAATACTCTTTCTTTGCTCTATTGTTAGTTCCCCTCCTGAGCTCCTCTTTAAGCATGAAGATCTCTTCCACGACTGCCATGTTCAGCTGGGCTACATTAGATGGTGAAAATGTCTTGGATGTGTGTTTGGATGAGCAGTGTTGGGTTGCATCCCATTTTCAGCCATTCCACCAGGTGAAAGGATTACAGCCCGGACGTCGTTACAATGTCTTTGTGAAAAAGAAAACATTCTTCCCTCAACTCCAAATTAACGTTACACAAAGCCTTCAGCTGGCCATAAAGACGGGTACGTGCAAAAACACATATTGTTGGGTCTGTGATGAATTGCTTGTGTTCCTTTATTAGCACTTTTTAGTCACTTTAGTTAAAGGTTTTTGCTAAATATCAAGGTAAACGTCTCAAAAGTAAAGTAGATCCAAAATTGTTTTACTGGGCTTGATGCCGTAAAATAACTTTTACTCTCTAGTTATGTACCGGTAATTACAATTAACATTTATTAATGAAACTTGTTTGCGGGATTTGAGTGAATATTAACTTAAATTTCAGTCTATTTCTCACACAAAAAATGACACGTATGACTTCAGATGATTTGAGATGTAGTGTAGAAAGACTAAAGATGAGACTAAAACTATTAAAAATACTTTTTTTAAATTGAAATGAAACTGAAAGAGTATAAATATTAGATTAGAACTTTTGTTAAAAGTTAAGTTAATGTACTAAAATGACTAAAACTGAAATAAAAAATAAGCTAAAAAGAAACTAATAAAAATGACAAAAGCACATACATTTTCTTAATCTAAAATGGAAACTGAAAATATAATATAATAACTCAAAGCTAAATTAAAATGTTAATAAAATGAAAAGTTGTTTCGACTAATTTGATGGTGGTTTTTTGTAATTTTTGGGGATAATATAATATTTGACAGTATAAATCACCATTCACTTTTGTTGAATGAAAAAGTGTAGATTAGAGCTCTACTTTTGTGTAATCTCCATTTGTGCTCCATGAAATAACAAAATATCATGCTGATATGGAGTGACAAATGTTTGAAGAAGATGAAAACTTAAGTAGTAAGTAGTATAAAAACTCGTTAAGACACACACATACACTGACGGTGTAACTTGTCCTCCTGCAGGTCAGTGTCCCGTTGGCTGGCTTGCTGTGGGGTGGAGCTGTTATAAGGTGAGCCCAAGGTTCAAGTCATGGTCTGGAGCGAAGCAAATGTGTGAAAGATCAATCCCAGGGTCACATCTGGCCAACATAAAGACAGATGCAGAGTTTCTGTCCATCACATCCTTCTTAAAGTCCTGTGACCATCTTCTGCTGTTGTGGACGGCTTTGAATGACCGTGAGGTACGTCAAACACACATAAACAGTAATGACGTACAGTGTTACGTACCTATATTTTGAAAGACATGAGTATGCAGCATGTATACTTTGAACAGTGTGCAAATTTTGCGTATGCATATATGAATATGCTTTTTCATAAATGTAAGACATTTTATACAAAATTGGAAATTAAAATGGAAAACAACTATCTTGAGGTCATGTGACGACAATGTAGCATAATAGAGTGCACCAGTGCCCGTCCACTTTTTCAGTGGCCTTGGTTCCTGAAGGTTTTCTCCCATAATTCATTTTAAATTACAAACTTTTATTTGCACCAAAAAAGTATTTGAAATTCAGAGAAAAAGATACTGACTTTATGGGATTGGGCAGATGCTGAAGATGCTTGTTTCTATTCTCTGATTGGTGGAGCTTTCTTTGCAGAATAATGTGTAATGTAGTTTTTCACCAGGAATTCCACAGTTAAACACAGTTAAAAAAAACTAAGTTGAAATAATGCAGACTAATGCAGAGAACAAGCTCATAGCTCACAGCAGTCTGTCTTTAATTGTTTATAAGATATCCTTATTGAAAATAAATGGGGTTTTTACTTCCGGAACCAGGCTGTTGAATTCTATTTTTTTTTTTTTTTTTTTTTTTTTTTGCATACTGAAACTTTGGATGAAAAATAGGATGCAGAATGTAGTAGCCTATATTCAGCCTCTGTGTTTAATATCTACAGACAGAAGGGGAACTCCGCTGGTCTGATGGCTCCGCCTACAACTTAAATATTGAAGTGACATCATCTCTTGCACCCAATCAAACAGGCTGTGTTGCGATGCAGAAGAATGCCACTGGTGCAGGATACTTCTTCACTGCTTTCCCGTGTTACCTGCAGCTCCCCTATATATGTCAAGAGGAGTGTGAGTGAAGAAGAGAGATAAGGGGGGTATGATTTACACAAGCAGGACATCTTCCTCGATCAACATCCACTGTTGTTCTTGGAAAAAGGGGTTGGGTTAGACTCAGGATTGATTGGGTTGATAGGAATGTTGTTCCTGGACC